GAAATTAAACAGTGAAAAATGGCAAAGTCACTCTGTACACAAACAAACAATGAACAGGTGGCTACAAAGTAGCCGTCTGGCTGCACTGCCTTTTTTTTATTTTTCTAGGCATCGTCCGGGCGATGATGTTATGGCAGATATTACGAAGCCAATCTTGTCTGGAAAAATAACTCTGCGTTGATAAAAATGGTCTCAGAAAATGTTTAGAAAAAATAATGTTTCGCATTGACCAAATATAATCATGCAAAAAGTATAAATTCAAAGTGTTTTAATACATTGGTGAGAGGTCGCATTTTATGTGAACAAGAAGGAAAAGCAGGCCAAAGTCGAAACGGGGTACATCATGGACATGGCACAACACACGCTGCGACAACTGAGTGATCAGTGACATCATTTTGGGACGCAATTGAAGTTCAAGTACTTTTTTGCAAAACTTGTTGCGCGGCGATGCTGACATCAAGTGTGTGTTGACTGAAGTTTGACCCCAAGTCACGCACTGAACTGGCGCGTTACCTTAGCAACCTTTTTCTTTCGTGCCCCGCGTGACAAACTAGTAAAATTGTTATTATATCCGAAGGTACTGTAATTACGCAACTTGTAAGCAACTCTGTACTGGCTTGAATATATCAACGTCGTTTACTTAGTGCACTGCTTTTCTAATTACGCAAATTTGTTTACAATATTGTACCAGCTCTGAATATTTCAACTTCGTAATGTATTGCTTTCATGATAATTAGTTTTTTTTTAACTATTGTTAGGGCACTGACCCGGGGTATTGGGTCTGTGAATATTTCAATATCACCGACTTGATAATGCGTTGCATTCGTAATAATTACGCAAACATAAACATACCATACATCAAATTAAATTTACTATAATATAATAAATTGCATTATATTTACTTTTATGTAGACTTCTACTTTAATTTCTTTACCTCTCAAAACCTGTGTTTTGATTGCACAGTTACATTACAGACATTATTCAGTTCACAGGAAATAATGCATAATGCAGGCCATGAGTGGATAACACAATGAGGGCAAATTGAAACTCACCTGAACATGGTGATGTTGGTACGACAGGACTTGGTGTCAATGGACTTGGAGTTTGGGCACTACTAACATCGGCACTTGGCATTTCTAGTTGATGTTTGGGTAAAGTACTCTCAATAGGCTCCTAAATAGGAGAATAATTATTATCACTCATAAAATAAGGAAATTACTGTACATCATTAAAGTATCTGGTTCCTTGTGCTGACCCCAATACTGTGACACTCATGTAGTAAGTTCATAAGTTTAACTTCAGCAATTCAATCCACATCTTCAGTTAGGTAACCCTAGACAGAACTTGATAGACACAGTCGTTCAAAATAAGCCCCTATAACGTTTTTGAAACTAAATCCTATCTTACGGTCTTCTTAATACCATTGTATTGAATATTAATTCCCTGTAAATCATTGTGTTAATTCATGGAATGCCTGGTTTGCTTGATTTTTTTTTCTCAGTAGATTTTAAAGATTTCTATACAAGTTTTACATGAAACAAGAGGGTTTTGAAAGGCACAAGCTTACAAAAAATGTTGAAAAAAAGAAAATGTTTTTTTGCAGCCTTTAGTCATACTGTACAACCTGAGGCATATGCAGTTCGTTAATTCCATACATCTAGGATGTAATGCAGTTGAGGGCAGTGTAAACATAACCTTCTCAATAACAAATAGTTGTCACAAATGACATACACTATTATTAACATTATTATTCAGACAACATACATAGGAATGATATGCAAACTAAACTGGTCTCTGCATATATGCATGTTACATGTAGTAAGAAACATCAAACAAAGTGCCATTTACTCTGCCATTTAAAAAAACTCATACCCATCATGTACGACTAAATAGAGCAACACGTTTATATGAGGTTGGTGACAGATTCAATTTTATTGGTAGCCAGTTAACCAAATTTCACTGTTTTTAATTCCTTTGAGCACCTAAGTCAACTCATGTCATCATTCACAGAATAAAAACCACATAATTTAAATCACATTTCACTTAAATATTGATCAATAACGCCAATTTCGGTCAAAAATAAAAAAAAACATACATAGGAAAATAGATAAAAGTGAACAAATTGTGGCCTAAAAAAATGAAGGTGCTCCAAAGTTTAGATAATAAATTTAATGTACATACTAAGATTAATACATACCACAGAACATATTGCTCGCTATTGGAACATATAAGCAGATGCACACCCAAATAATAGTCTGAAGGGGGACAATTAACAATAAATTGTACATATTTTATATGGGGACTGGTAATAAGATGTGAGAAAGGTATGATGGATGCAAGTCATGTATGTATGAGAACATAGTATGAATGAAGGCTGATAAACAGATATATGCAGCAAGATGTCTCAAGTGTGTAAGCTCATCAAGCACAGCATGACACCAAACAAACACAGAGAGCAAAAAACTAATACATTTACTTCTAAAGCATCATGCAGAGGGACATGCTACAGTACATCTGGACAAGGTCGCTATATTATTCTAAGCACAAGAGTTAGCCAGCACATACCGCAGAAGACAACCAAGACTGAAAGATGGCCAAGCGAGTGGATGATGATTACCTTAAGGGAAGTTAGTCCTTGTTGCAAGACAAGACTCTGATGCCTATCCTTAAGTAGCGAAGACAACAGAGGTGAAGGTGGTGCAGTTTTAGTGAAGGGGTTGTTGTGGCTACACGTTACCTCTTTGTTTTGTGGCATCTCTGAAGATACAACAGCTTCTGGAGTTAACACCTGGAGAAGGTAAAACAGCTGCTTGATGAAGATATGATATGAAGAACGAATCATGCTAAACCAGTAACAATTTGGTTTTTAAACTTTTCAACACCAGTTCCCTCATTTTATTACAAATTTCACAAAATAATCCTGTTTATAGTCTGCACTTGCCTAGAGATGATTTGAAAAGAATAGCCAAATATTTTGAGTAAAAACTGAAAATTTACTCAAATTTTCTCTGTTGGCTCCAAAATTAGGGTTCATTCCAGAAATATTGAAGAATACAAGACAAAAATTGCAGGAAAATTTGGGCGAGAGAGTCTGGTAGTGAAAAAGTTAAAGTAAAGGTATAAAATAGACTGCCAACTTGAAGAAAGCGATGTGAAATATGATTTTGAAATGAGTTGATTTACCTCAGTTGGTGTGTCAGTGCCACTATCACTTTCTCCTCGTTCATCTGTTCCTGATCCTTGTGAAGATGACTGTTGTCGTCCTCGTAAGTTCTGTACTCTCTTTCTGGATTTATTTGGCGGTTGTGCTACGGGTCTACCTGGTGGTTTAGCTGGGAAGGACAAAAGAGTCATATTTAAGTTGTTCAGTTTACTGTGAGCAGGCCTCCTCTTATTCAGTTTCAAGTACCCTGCTTTGAAAAGTAGAGCCCAGTATGTCACTCCACAGCTATCAATACATAGTCAATGGTACAACTGGTACAGAGAATCAAAGCTTAACATTTCAATAATTTACATGCCGAATCTGCAAATGAGTAATGATAAATTGATAATGATATTCAAGTTCAAGTTGTACCTGCATTAGCAGCTGCTTTAGCTTCACTGGCAAGTCTCATCGCTTCTACGGCTTCCTCTGAAGCTTTCTTTTGCCTGAAATACATACCATGCATGCATGAATCACTGCTGAATTAAACATGTACAATACTGAAATCAATCTAATCTTTGGTCACCCTCTACTGGGCTGAAGTCACCCAATAAATCTATTTTCCTGAGGTGAAAGCCACATCCCACAGAGGGAAATCAGATGTACGATAATCTCAATCAATAAGTACTGCCAATGCTTGAACTATTCGCTGGGTTTTAATTTCATATTTTCGCTGATAACGATAATTCACTATATTAATTCTATGTGAACATGAAAAATAACAATAGAATGCATAGTTTTACTGGCACAGGGATTTTTTTAAACAAGGGAACAGGGGTGCTGCACTCACATGCCTTGGCCATGCACCCCCGTACCCTGGGTAGCAGATCCTCTGGCAACCATAAAATTCTGATTGACCAGAGATCACATGTGGCCACAGTCTACAACTGTGACCTGTCTGATAGTAATTTTGGCCCCAAGGAAGCCATAGAATGCTCCATTTTAACTTAGAATTATCAAACACTCCACACCCTGGTAGAGAAAACCCCATCTCCCATCTCACTTGGTGGCGCTGCTGAAATGCAGTGCATCAAATTGGTGAAATTAAAAGTCAATAAAATAAATGGTTTTACAATATATACAATATACAATATATCCTCCAAGCATTTTAGATTACTAGTAGTACCCTGTAGCAGTCATTAATGTGTAAACATGTTGTAATCAGCTCACTACGCAATCAAACTGAACTCAGTATCCAAACACAAGGTCAATGCGACTTTATTCTACTTACGCTTGTACTTCCTCCCAAATCTGTTTTAATGAATGATCCGATTCCCCTCTTCTAATTTTTTCAATCTGTGCTTTCGTTTTTCTGTATTCCCTCTGATCTTCCTCAATTTGTTGCTTTAATTCTTCGATTCTTTCAGCTGTTAATTTTCTTACAATTAGGTCTCCTGGTGTTTCTACTTCACCGCGGTCACTGCTGCGCTTACGCCTAAAAGTATAAACAAATCAAATCAAAGAAAGCTTAGAAAAAACTCCTGTGAGCTGAAGGTATTGTAGACATGAAGTACAAATGAGCAATACTGTATTTGCTACACTTGAAACACATCTTCAATACGCATAAAGCAAAAATAGCATTTATTGCATGCAAAATCATTAAAATATGTCTCATTTTGACCATAGACTTGCCTCTGTCATTTACAATTGAGCAGATGTGCTTCTATTAGAGCAAATACGGCATTTAAAAATATAAACTGCAAGCAATGATCAGGGTGGTTGTGGCTATGGTTTAACAATTACAAACATTTAATGAAATAATGGGCATATATGATGACTTGATATTTCGGTCATATATCTTGTTTAACAACGTAATTATAGCACTAGTTGCAATGGGAGGCAAAAATTTAAATGAAAATACATTGATGACTGATATTAAAGTGATAAACAAATACTGCCAGGTCTTTAGAAGCTTGGGACACAGTACACTTACTTTGGTGTTTCAACTGTTTCCAGCATTTCAGAATATTGAGAGGCACAATTCTAAAGAGAAAAAACAAATTACAAAATTAAAGTTTATGAAGTTTGAATATGCTTCAAACAGATCAAATACAAGCACAACGACTGCGTCTTTTTGAATCTTGAAGATCAAACAACTTAAATTAACATTGAGACAAATTTTACAACATATATTTTATAGACAACATGTTTCTAAATGTGCTAATCAGTCTTACAGTTTATGCAGCCTGAGCCAATAGCTGAGAGTAAGCAATTTATATTTCATCAGAAAATAATTACTACCTTTTGTGAAAACCAATCAGCAGGTCTATTTGGCTCACCAAATGGTTTGATGGCTCTGCTAACTGACACCCTATAAAAGAAAAAAGTGACAGTATGAACAAGATTGAAAATATACATGTATAATAATGAAAAATTAAAAGTAACATCAAATGTTTGAATTTCACCTGTCACTGGTTTTGACTTACCAGTTTTGATCTCCACTTCTCAAGACAGACGATCCAAGACATAGTCTTTCTCTGACTGACCATTTGTCAGTTGGTGCACTTTTCAGTAATGTCCCTACAATGTAAACAACGTATACCGGTATTAAGTCACAGAGGATGATCATTCACCGGATGATATTGAGCTGTCCATATTCAAGCCGTATGATTACATGCTTCTCCAGAACACAGGTAGTGGCAAACAACATGTTTAATGCACGGTGGTCGTCACGCAGCGTGTGTTCCAATTTCATGAAAATAAACAATGTATTTTACATGCGTTGTATACGTCGCTATTAGTCCCATATCGAACAGAACGCGGCACGTCGACTGCCGCCTTTTAACTGTCCCATACGTATAGCACAATCCACCCCAGCCCACCTGGATGTTACTAATACAGTGAATTTCACAAAGGCATGAATGTTATTTGATGGATATTTATAAAATATTTATCAAACTTAATAGGAAGTCTCATGCTTCATTCAAATATACTTTCATTGGCTATAGAAGTCATTTGGTAACACTCATTACCCATGAGCCTTTGCTGGTTTACTTCCTTCAATCAGTTTACTCCCATGCATAAATGTATTGTGATTGGTCAAGTTTTTTTTAATTGTCATTTGAAATTTATAAAACAATTACATTTATAAATATTGTGTATGTAAAAGCATTCCCATTATCACGAAATTCACTGTTAAAGTACAAATTTGCATGAAATATATAGTGAGGGTATAATAACCATATGGATTAATGTGTGCAAGGAGACACATTTGTTTCCTGTGTCAGTTATGCCGTGTCATGAAAACACCAGAAGCATCTATTCTTACTCTGCAATTCACAAGGAGTATAAATTCGTGTCAGTGTGGCAGAAATCCCAAACCCTTTCCCTACTCTAAAGTAAATTATCATATAACAATATACGACATATCCTTATTCAAAAATTAGGTGAATTTTTGGCTAAAATTAAAAGTTTGCCAAGTGGCCGGAACTTCCTACAGCTACATTCTGTGTAGACATACAACTGAATCACCAAGGTCTTTAAGCCTAGGTTAGATCAAGCGTCACCTACGAGCTTAGCTGCCGAAACCAATTGTGGAGGGACTGTGCCGAAACGTATGCTGGACAGCATTTATATTATTCTTAGCAGGGATTTTTTTAAACAAGGGAACAGGGGAGCAGATCCTCTGGCAACCATAATATTCTGATTGACCAGGGATCACATGTGGCCACAATCTTGAACTGTGACCTGTCTGATAGTAATTTTGACACCAAGGAAGCCATAAAATGCTTCATTTTAACTTAGAGTTATCAAAAACCCTCCACACCCTAGAGAAACCAGAACCCTCGTGTACACACTGCTAAACACGATAAACTAAACAAATCATTCCAATCTATCTTTCATCTGACTTTAAAACCTGCACGGGGATGTTGATCGCAATGTCCTCGTAATCATAAAAAGTGTGAATGCATATATAAAAACGTTATAAATAAATATGCTGTGGAAAAAAGTGTCAACAAAGAAAGTATAAACCTTACTTTGAACAGCCGCCATGTTATTTCCTCTTTACCTTGTTCCCAGACTGTTGACTACGTCCTGTTCACGCTGAATGTTTTTGTAAATTCAAACCTACTAACACCTCCAAGCCCTAAAACTGTATTATATAACTGCAATAGTCATGACTTATATCTGATACGAAAAATTCTTACGATGGCAAATCTGATTTAGCTAATTCTAAATCAGTGACAAGGTAAGAATACAAAGGAGGAATGGGCATTGTGTCAACACAGGTGGCGCTATTTGGTTTGCCGCGATCGGAATGGGTAAACTGACTCAATAAGTTGAAAGGTCAAATTATAACAACATGGCGGCCATCAACAGGGAGAGGCCGCGAGGTGGCAGTCAGCGTAAAGAAACGGTAATAAATAATAGTTGTTAATTGTTTACGAAACATTCGAATTATACATTTGCTTAAGTTGAATATCTTCTTCGAATTGTTCTATTTTCAGTCCGGAATGTTGATGTCTGTAATCAGAACGCTGTCGGCAAGGTAGGAGAACGATTTCAGACTTTTTTTTTTTTATGAATCATGACATTTCTTGACAATGAACTCAAATGTAAATATACACGATTATTGAAATCAGTGTTGAGCAAACAGGAATATTCGTTCTCAGACGTCATCAAATATTGTTGTTTAAAATTATAGTTAGGGCGGGGGTGCAAAAAGACTTTTTTCCAATAACTCGAAACAACATTCAAAGTTGAACTATTTACAGTCCGTTCTCAGAAAACGATATAATTTTCCACAGTCCCTCTATCCACAGTCCCTCTATCAGTAAATACTGAAAATTGACTCAGATTTTGTCTGTTGGCTCTAAAATTCGGGTTCATTTCGAGAATTACTGAAGAATAATTCGGGTTCATTTCGAGAATTACTGAAGAATACAAGAAAACAAGTGTAGACAAATTTGGGTAGGAAACTGACTGTCACATTCAATAATAATACTTGATTCCAACTCAATAAATAAGCCAGTTAAAGATGGTCTGACCTTTATCTAAGCTTTCCGTTTACTTGCTACTTAAAGGGTCATAAGCTTCATTTTTCATATTTTATTTCCATGATAAAATGAGCAAGAGTAAACTTGTCAATTCATATGCATGGTATATTGATTTGTTTTTGTTTTTAGTCTGCAGGATTTGCATTTCGAATATATTACATTTTTAAATTCAAATTCTTCGAAATTGTGAAACATAATGTTTTAACTCCAATTAAAAAAAAATCTGGTTCAACCATGGTCAAAAGATGGGGCTGCCCTCTTTTATGAACCTTCCTTCCGGTGTCATCACCTATATTTTTGACAATTGTTTCATGCCATTGTATACACTGGACTACTAAAGCCAACAGTTTAGATAATAACACACATGTAGGACATTTGTTTCGCTGATTACAGATTTTCGATTATCTGTAATTACCGTTACGGTACTTATCCGGGTAAGAGCCCATGCCTGGACAAACGACCACCCCCCCCCCCCCCACTTTTGACACAATAAAGAAGTTGAGGTCATATCCGGGCACATGCCCAGGGGGTCGCATTTATCCGGGTATAAGCCCAGAGTCTTGAACATGGAAAATTGCCAAAAAGAAGGGGTGGGCGTTTGCCAGGAGATCCCCGGCAAAAAAAACGAAAATTCGCGAAAAGTGACAACAGGCAGATCGAACTACGGCAGGGAATAGAACGGCAAATGAAAACATG